CATATCACTTCAGAGTCCAAGTTGGGATGATATTGGTTGACCCCTCCAGCACAACATGTGTGAGGACCGTTGTATACTGTTAGTTCCCATCTGTTGTTTTTCCTCTTCCTCTTCGATACGTGAACCATCCAATTGCATCCGTTTTCGCGCTGGGCACGGTAGCATACATATTTTTCAGTCGTGGAGCGGTCTACTCTGGACTGAACAGAATTACGAATATTGTAATTTTTGATAGCCATTATCGCTTCTTCTTTGCTTGAAAACTCCATGCCTAAAGATAACTCACCATTATTTATTGATGAGTAATACCCATAGTCACCGAGATGAGGCATATCCGCAAATTCTGGCCCGTACAATGTACCATAATCAGTTTCATACATGTGTGCAGGAGGGTCAGTTTGTGCCACATTTCCTGGAACTTCATCATCATCGGAGTTGAATTGCGGTGATTCTGGGTTAATGAACAGTCCAGTCTCAGCACCATCAGCACCAGGCTTACGAAGCGGTTCTTCTGGTGGAGATGATGGTTCTTCCATGCTCTCCACATTTAGGTCGAAGAACCTACTACTTGCACGCCTTCCCCTTGAACTGGAAGGCATATCGACATTGAGATCGAAAAACTCGCAGTCGAATGCCTCCCCCTAGAGTTTTAAGCCATCGCGTCAAATGGAAACTGCATAGATGGTTGCATCGATGGCATCTCCATATTAAGGTCAAAGGGATTTGCAGATGAATGTCTTCCCCTTGAATTGGACGCGATGTTGCCATACGGATTGTTCGTCGACCTACCTCGGTACATATCATAAGGAGTTGCGGATGAATGTCTCCCCATTATGGCATTAAAATCATTACACATTACTGTCGTCGGGCTGTCAACTTGATCAACTTGTTCAGTCAACCCATAGTGGGAGCTTAATGATTGACCCCGAACAGCACGCACTTAAACAAAATGTGCATACATCTCAATAGCGGCGTCTGAATAATTATTTTGAGCTTCAACCATCATTTCAACATCATCATTGTTCGAAAGTTCGAACGCTGTATAAGTTAATGGCAACAATGATGTTGGAAATCTATACTGCAACGACGACACTCTTCTACTACTTTCAACATGAATCTTCCTCGAAATCTTCGTTATAAGCTCATCAAGAGTTATGTTTCTCTTGAATGATATTTTAACACGCTCATTTGATACGAAAACAACGTCGGTTTCATCTTCTCGAAATTCACCATCATAATAAACAATAACTGAAAGTCGCGCCAATATTTGAGTTTAAAAGTGCGACACTATTATATCTGGAAAAAATGAAACAAACCTGATTTAATAAATTATATATGAACGAGCATATAACACAATAAATTTTTTACACATCAACGTAAATAAATTAAATAATATAATTTAATATTATTATCTGCACCGCAAAATTATTTCGACGTATGCTCCCGCTTTTCAATTTTACAAACACAAAAATTAATTGAAAATAATTAGTATAATATTTTTTCAAATAATCATAATAAACAATAAATATAAAAAAAATTATAACAAAATTACCTTATAACGAAAAATCGCACGAACTTCTAAATAAAATATGAGAAGATTACAAGAATTATTGACTCATTGACGGAATTGTTGTATTAATTTATAAGTTGAGAGGAGAGATGTGAGAAATTAATCGGTGGAGAATGGTATTTATAGCAAGAAAAGTTATACAAAACGCGATACCTGCCCCGCGCTATATAAAATTATTAGGAGTAAAGGTATAGCGCGGTACCTGATCCGCGTTATACCCCTACGTGGCGTATAGCGTGCTTCAGGGGCCGCGCTATACCCACGTGGTACCAGCTCACCGTATAGCGCGGTGCAAGGGGCGCGTTATACCTCACGTGACGCCAAATCATTATATAACACGGTGCAGGGGACGCGCTTTACTACTAAGGGTGTTAGATCGAGAAATATAATCTGACCGATGTTAGATCGATAATATTACTGGTCACAAGTGATATATCGAGAAAATCGCCTCCTATGATAGTTTGCGGTTATTTTTTAACTAATATTTTAAGGAGTTATTGTTCATAAAAAATAATTAATATGGACTTTTAATATAATATTGCAGATTTTTAACAAGGGTATGACTTGACATTTATGATTGAGTAAATATTGTAAGAATTGTACCAGAGGTCGAATCAATCATGTTATTAAGTTTTAATTTAATTAAAATAAAATAATAGTAAATTTTAAAACAATTAAAATAAGTTTAATTGTTTAAACTGGTTGATATTTTATATCTTAATTTTACTTTTAATAATGTACAGTATCAAATTTTTATTTAATCAGGTGATCTGATTTTATCTTTTAAATTATACCATAAGTAGTTTTATTTTATTCTATAATCATGTGTTTTATTTACTTATGAAAATACATGTCTTTAGTCAATATTTGAATTTTAGTAGTTTTATTTTTGTTCTTTCCTAAATAAAGCCGACATACAACAAATGAAGAGAACATTCAATGAATTTCAATTTGATATGTTCATATTTATTTATCAAGCTATAGAAACATAAATATAATTTTAAAATTTATTTATTAAATAAATTGAATACAAATAAAATAAGTTAAATTCATTTATGTTTATTAGTAAACTCATTTATCCAAAACATTACTCGCAATAAGTCCAAGTTAGATCTCAAGTATTTAAAATGTGTACTCGTTGGGTATTATTCATTTAATAAGGGTTATGTAAGCTATCATCCTCATTCTAAACGATTTTTTACCACTATGGATGTAACATTTTATGAGGAGGATCCTATATCACTCATGTTGAAATTCAGGTGGAGACATTGAGGGATTTTCAGCCACATCAGGTATCTCCTAATCTTCATTCTCGACCTTCAGAATTGCCACGTTTTTTGTCTTTACCTACATATTTGTCACCCGTGACTACTCCCATTGATTCTCTTGTAATACATATCACTAATTCACCCACGCCTACTTTAAACACCCTTTCTGAAAATACACCTGCTCCCATTGAAAGTCTTCCAAAAACACAACCACCCAAACAGCTTCGTGTCTACACAAGGAAAAGAAAACATATCCATGAGGTTGTTTTGCAATCTGATTCTTGCCGAGAATTGGATTTGGGTCCAGCTGCTGAAATGGAAGAAGAAATCAGTAAGTCACTTCTCCTACTTTAAATGACTTCCCTATTACTATTAGAAAAGGGGCTAGACAGTGCACCAAGTATCCTATTGGAAAATTTGATGGTTATAATTCATTGATGCATTATTTTCAAGCATTTACATCAACCTTGGATAAAGAACATATTCCCACAAGCATAACTGAGGCTTTAAAGGATCAAAAAAGAGAATGGTTGTTGGAGAAGAAATTTGTGCACTAGAGAAAAATGCTACGTGGACCGTTACATACTTTCCTCAAGAAAAAAATGTTGTTGGTTGTAAATAGATATTTGCTGTAAAGTATAACTCCAATGGTAGTATCCAACGATACAAAGCTTGACTAGTGGCCAGAGGCTTCACGCAAACATATGAGATAGTTTTCAAAGAAACTTTTGCATATGTAGCAAAGCTTAACATTGTTGATGTAAAATACGCATTTCTTAATGGCAAGCTAGAGGAATAAGTCTATATGAAATTGTCACTTGGCTTAAAGTCTGTTGAAGGTAGCAACAAGGTTTGCAAGCTCAACAAGTCTCTATACGAGTTAAAACAATCACCCAGAGTTTGGTTCGAGAGGTTCACTAAAGTCATTCTTAAAAACGGCTACAAGCAGTCCCTCGCTGATCACACTCTTTTCATCAAGGTAACTTCTACAAATAAGAAAACTATCCTAATTGGGTACGTGGATGACATAATTCTTACTGGAAATGATGATGAAGAGATTAGAAATCTGAAGAAGTTGTTAAATAGGGAAATCGAAATCAAGGACTTGGGAAAGCTAATGTATTTCCTAGGAATAGAGGTGGCAAAAAAAAGACTTGTGATAAACCAAAGAAAGTATGTACTTGATTTACTCAAAGAAATTAGTTTTCTTGGTTGTAAGCTTGCTTATACACCAATGGAGGCAAACTTGAGATTCAACAAAGAAGATGGGTCCTTAGTAGACAGAGAGAAATTTCAAAGATTAGTTGGGAAACTAATTTACTTATCCTTAACAAGGCCAGATATAGTATTTCCCATAAATGTGATAAGTCAACACATGACTAATCCTACTGAAGAGCATATGACAACATCAAATAGAATTCTCAAGTACTTGAAGAAAACTCCAGGACACGACTTAATGTTTAATAAGACACAAGACAGAAATGTTAAGATTTTTACAGACTCTAGTTGGGTCGGTGATTTCAATGAAAGAAGATCCACTAGTGGCTACTGCATATTTGTTTGGGGTAACATTACAACTTGGAGAAGTAAAAAATAATATGTCGTTTCAAGAAGTATTGTTGAAGCTGAATTTAGAGCACTAGCATTGGGAATATGCGAAGCATTGGGAATATGCGAAGGAATTTGGTTACTTAAACTACTAAAAGAACTTGGCACTAATCAGGAGTATCACTTTGAAGTTTTGTGTGATAATTAATCTACCATTCAGATTGCCAATAACCCAATTCAACGTGACCGAACAAAGCATGTTGAGATTGATAGGCATTTTATTACTGATCAAGTCAACAAAAAGACAACCACCCTTTCATACATTCATTCAGAAGGACAGATTGCAGACATTATTACTAAGGCTTTGCCAAAGCTTGTTTTCAATAAATTCATATTCAAGCTGAGATTATACAATGTATATTCTCTAGTTCGATGGGTGTAGGAACTATAGAAATATATGAGTTGTTACCATCCCTTCAGTTAAGGGATTCTGTGAATATTCTTTCGTTACAATCTCTTATTTTAAGGGATCATATCTTCTCTGATTAATATCTTTATTAACTTAGAGTTTCCTAGTTATAGATATAATTTGTATATATAAAGATGCAATATTTTCTAGTGCCCTTCTCTCCTAAAAAGGACACTAGAAATGGTGACAGGTAAGCTTTGTTCTAAGTGAGTTACCCCAAGCTGCAAAACCTTATCATCAAACATGATAAAATAATTTAAGAAAATTTTCTCAGAAAAATATAGGAAGATTGTCACACCCCAATATGGGGTTAGATTTCTTTAAGTTTAAATATGTGAAATGATATGAAGTTAGTTGGCAAATAATTATTTTATCATATCTTTATATTATTAAACAAATTGATGAGGATAGAGTAGGTAAAAGAGGACAAATTGTTGGGTGGATTAGATTAATAATAATGACATTGTCTGGAACCTTATCGTTACCCTCACCACTCAAAATTCCAGCCTGTACAGTAGCTTCATAAGGAACAACTTCATCGGGGTTAACTTGGATCCTTCTCTACTACCTGAATCAAGATTCGAGTTTGGGCAGCATTGATTTCATTGAAGATGAACCTGTTCTACTGTCACAAGTCAAGGTTAGACAAGAATATGAGATTGACCTCACTACTTTTACTGGGCTATACCGATATCGATTAGGGGATGTGGTGGAAGTGAGTGGATTTCACAACATGACATCAAAGCAGAATTTTATATGCAGGAAAAAACTAATATGGGCTGTTAACATCGAAAAAAAACATCGAAAAGAACCTTCAGTTAGTGGTCGAGAGAGGGTCCGAGCTGTTAAGCAATCACCGAGCCGAGTTCGTCGATTTCACGAGCAGAGCCGAAGTCATGCGTAAGCCAGAACAGTAACGAACGTTTTTAATAGTTGACCCAAGATAAGCCTCGTCAATCTCTTTAATCTTCGTCAGGACCATGGAGCAGAAAAAGGTTGAAGAAGATGCAAAGAAAGGAGATGAATCTAAAGGAGAATCTGCTCAATAACCTCAAGAGGTTATCTTGAAAGTTTACATGCACGGTGAAGCTTGTGCTTAAGAGATCAAGAAACATATCAAAAGAATGAAAGGAAGATGTTGTTCAGACCTCGTGTGGCGTTGGATCTGGATCAGGCACGAGACAAAACGGTGAGATAAGGAATTGAATCAGACTCGCGGAACGATTGACTGACATATTTGTTGATGAAAATGACATGGATTTGTTGCTTCAACAGAGCGATAGAGATGATAGGGTTCTTCAATGGTTACAAGCTTTAGATATGCAATTAATCGGCGATTGTTGAACCGATGAGAGGCTAAAACTTTTGTTGAAAGTCAACGTATCAAACGGCATCGCCGAGGATCGATTATTAGCTCATTTGAGTCGGTGCTTTGAGCCATCGAAAATTGGTATACTAGGGAGGTATTCTTGCATTCCATTGGTTTCAATTTGAGTATGTGATAAAATGAGGAAGGCGAAATTACTAGGTTAGTCATCCAAGTTTGTTAAAAAAAAATTTAATATTGTCTTTTAGCTTTCGTATTATTATGATTATGGCATAATGGTTTAAATAAAAATAATTTAGTCCATGGTGTCAGTAAATAAATATTATTGGCTCTTCAAGTTTTTAGTTTTTCAAATTGAGTCCCCAAATTATTAATTAGATTCTAATAATTTATTTTTATGGAAAGGAAAATTATTTGAAGTCGTATTTGTACGGTGGATGGTCTGTGTTCATGAGAAAAAGATGGAAGTTAGAAAGCAAGTTGGTGAGATTAAATTTAAGAGTCATATTTTGGGTTTTGTTGACGTCCTGAATATGAATCTGAAGTTTGTTTCGTCAAATTCGAACTCGGTAAGCTATTTTTGACTGATTTATCACCCGATTCGATCCGTTTTTCAGAATTAAGCTCCGTTTTTTTTTGTAATTTCTGTTGATATGCATCTGAGGAATTATTGGAAGTTGATTTCAAGATCGAGGGCGTTCAAATGGAAATTAATGGTCGATCAGTATGGCACGAAAATCGAGGTAATACTTTACTACCTCTTTATGCTTTATGGAACATGTTGATATTGGTAAATGCATGAATAAGATAACGTTGGTCACTTTTGTGGAGTTGAATAATTTATTCACTTGATATGAATGTGGTAGAAATTCTGTAACTGAATACGGATCGAATGACTAATATAAGAGATTGAGGAATTGTTAGAATTAAATTACAAGTTTGTGATAAGTGATAAAGAAATCAGCCCTGGATTTGTAACTTATATTTTATATCATCAAAGGTTAAATGTTAAAGGTACTTATATGAGAAATTATGAGAATATTTTGATTATGTAAAATTACGAAATTACCCTTATGTTAGAAAATGACAAGAATTGTCCTTGGAAGTGGATTAGTAAATCTGAAAAGACATATTGATCTGATAAATTTATTGATGTGCATAAGAAATGTTAGTTTTACTTGGAAATTATGGATAACCGGTTTTTAACCTCAATAGGGATTTTGCAAGATACTAGAAGTCTGTTAAGGAATCATTTCAAGATCAGAGAATGTTCGAGGAAACAACTAACCATAGGATCTTTAAATTATAAGTATGCTCGTTAAGAGTTAATACCGAAATCATCTGGTTAAAAAATTACGAAAATGCCCTTGAAAGGTAAAAATAGCTCGAGTTGACCCTGAATGAGAAAGTTCTTGGAGGATTTGTACTTAACTCAATGAATTACGTATTTAATTGTTAAGATCCAGTCTTTGTACATAAAATTTCTGATAACCTATTGGTAACATCTGAGAAGACAATCGATCTGAAAATCTTCGAGTTAAGAATAAATTATCGAGGGTGCTCTTTTGTAAGAATTATTTGAAAGGTCTGGAATAAATGATAAGTTGTAATTAAATAATAAGACAGAATTGAAGGAAAGAATTGAAATACACCGGATCTATAAAATGATCATAATACCCCTGTAATGAAAAAGACTCAAGAATATTACCAAGCTCAGGAATGATTGGATATCCTCGAGCTCTGAAAAGAATGGAATAAAACTGGGCACCAGAATGACCAAAATACCCTTATGACCTAAAATTAATAGAAGTGTTGGATTAATTAAGGAATCCAAATAAACATGGATATGGTACTGCTCTTAAAAGTTATGGATCACATATTAAGCCGAGCAATCAATTCTAGTGTATATGTCAGTACATGAAATGTATAGATGTTACTTGAATGCGTGTTCATCTTCTCAAATGTGGTTCAATGATAATTTTGAAAATACTCAGCTCAACTCAACTCTAGGTCGCATTCGATAATATGAAATGAATATTTGTTAGACAAATCAACCACAAAGACCAAATTAAATTAAACGGAAGTACAATATATATGAAATTCAGAAACATCTGGATTATCTGGAAAGCTCTGAAGTAATCGGGATAGACTTGACTGATAAACGAACTGAGTAACCTCAATGACTGAGGATTAAATAGGTGATTTGATGAGTTTGGGAACACTGTTGAACTTACATGATGAATTATCCTTATGGGTCATAAAACATGAATCAAGTATGTATGTATTTCCTGATATCGTTGAAATATGGAAATGAAATAAAGACTATTGGAAGATCTATTCAGCGATGATTACGAAGATGATTTATGGACAATAATTTTGGTATTAAAGAGTAAATACTCTGAAAGGCAGTAAATTGACGAGTCAACATGCATTAGTTCAGAGAGCTTGTTCAGTTCGAATTGTTCGATAAACCGATCGATTAAAATAGATTGTAAATGTCTTGAAGCTTCGTTTCTCCTTTATTAGCTCAAATCACTCTGGGCATTCTGGAACGCTTTCCTGATGCACATGAATCATAGTGGAATTCTAAAGTATCAACTTTAAATGTCTGATTAGATCGGTTAATAATCGATTCTCTCCAATAGGACCTTGTTCTTAGAATCCGATCAAATTGCATGAGCTTCATGTTATCCTTACCGATAATTACAAAATGCCTCTGAAAAAATACTTGGATCCTCTAGCGTGTTCCCTAATTATTACTGAACTGTTTTATTGGTTTTAATATGAGGTACACTGAGTTCTTTGGTTATTGTTTTATTGATGCACCAATTTAATGTGATGATTTATGGAATTTGTGTCAGGGTGCAATTGAACTTTTGGATTGAATTACAATAGTATAGCTCTGATTAAGCTAATAAACAGAATGGGCCTAATGTGACTCTTGGCCCAAGATACATTAGGTTGGCTTCCTTTGCTGTGTGCTTAGGGTAAGCTATATGGACTTGGACTTACGGGCTTAAGGATACAAGCTATAAAGCTTATCCTTAGGTTGGCTTTCTTTTTGCTGTGTGCTTAGAGTAAGCTATATGAAAAATAGTTTTGGAAATTACTGATAGTGTACAAGAAAAGAGTTTAAACTATGATTTTCAAAAGTTAAATTTCATTATGATTTTATGAGATTTACTGAACTATCATTTGATAAGTGTACCTATTATGATTTTATTATATTGTTGGAACACACTAGACATCCTATTCGATCTCCAGAAAATGTCATACTTTGAAAGGTTTCTTATGAACTGAGATTCATGGCTTCTACTCGATGAACTTCTAAGGAAACCCCAAATTATTCTGCAAACTGGTATACGTATGATTCAATAAGGAAATTATATGGCTTTCCATTTATCTACATGTCATGTAGCATCATCTGGTAGTTCTGTATTACTAAGCTTTCCGAAGCTCACTCTATTACTCAACATTGCAGGTTAAAAGAATTGTACCAGTGCAGCTATCGACATCAGTAAGGTAGTTCTTCCGGCGTTGCTTGCAGAGAATGGTACATGTGATTAGGGGGCATGTGAATTGTATTTTGTTTTATATTTGAGTTTGAAAAACCTATTTTATTTCTGAATAATAATAAATCATTTATGATTTTACATGTTTTAAGAAAAGTTTTAAATTTTTTGTTATTTTTACAGTGGGTCGCTCCGGTGGCCCTAATGTGACACTCCAGATCGGATCGGGCTATCCGCATCGGTCTGAGGGGGTTACATTAAGTGGTATAAGAGCTTTGGTTTTAGTCAAAATTTTCATGATAGACCGGTCGGTTAAATGTCAAAAGATGTCTGATCAGTACATGCCCCTAG